AAAAATGCATACAACTACTTGTTTTTCTTTGGAGTTTTCTTTTTACTAAATATTTTGGAGTTTCAAACAAGATATAAGCAATCCTAAAATATTAAAATGCAGTATAAATTGATGTATGAATCAAAAAAATTAAGACAAAGTCAATTGTTCTATGAATTTATAGTAATGACACAAGAACAATTCTAATCCATACAAATCAATGTACAATCAATCAATGTACAATCAAGAAGCAAACATATAAAACGAATTAAGACACTAAACAACATGTTTTGACCAAACAAAATTGAAAGGAAGCTTAAGAAAAGTGTTTACCAAGAAGACCTTGCTCTTGATACCAAATGATGAAAACCTTATGGAGTAACTGGACTGATATGGCTTCTCCTTCAAGTTTCTTCCCAAATCTTTTTCTTCTTGACACTCCTAAAGCTTTTTCAAGGTCTTCAATGGAAGAAGAGACCTCTTATTTCACCTTTTAATGTGAGGAACTCTCTTCAAGTGGTGTCACTTCAAGGTAGAAGATAAACCACTTCAACTCTCACAACACTCTTAGGAAGAGGATAAGAGAATTGGAAGCAAATCAAAGAGAGAATTTAAACTTTTGAGAGAGAGAATTTTGAGCAAAAAACTTGGCAATCTCATATAATGATCCAAAAGTGAGTTTTACAAGTGAAACAACCTATGTATAGTGGTGGAGAAACTTATAGTGAAAGCCAGACAAGGTAAAGACAAGATAGGGACACTTAGATCTAGATTAGCCAATCATAGTGTCAAGTGTCATCTTGTCTCCTAGGAGACAAGGAGGGGACACTTGGATCTAGAAAGGCCAATTATAGAGTGCCAAGTGTCACCTTGTCCCCTTGGCTAACCAAGAGACAAGTGTGTTAGACAAACTAACAAGGAGAACTCGGCCATGGAAGGGTTAGGCAGCCTTGCTTGATTTCCTTTATTTAATCCAATCCAAAAATCTTGGAATTGGTTTAGTTAGGTTCATCAAATTATGGTGAGACCTAGCTAAATCAATTCCTTGGATTAAATGGAGAAAAACAAGCCTAATATGTAAAATTTGGCCTAGGCCCACTAAGGGCCCAATTGCTAGCTTCGCCCACACACTTGCTATTTGCTACCCCACTACTAACACAAAAAATATGAAAATCTATGACCCTTAATACAAGGCTAAATGAAGTAAAAGTCTCCAACTAACATACCCCAAAATCCTAAGGGTATGACCTATAAAGAAAAATAAAGTGTCTTATAAATACAAAAGCAAAATAAATTTATACAAGTATCTACTATATACAAAATATTATATAAGGTATGTATAATAGAGATTAAGGAACTAATAAGATAAATCATACTCAATACTCATATAAAACATAGGTCTAAGATGCATCTCCTTTATAGAAACCTCCTCTAACCAGACCTAGTTAAAGCCCAATGATCTTTAAGGTCGTTACCAACAGCCACATAACCACTAAAAGCCACCCTCAACCACAACTTCTCACCGAACTACGAACTCTCCTTTAGACCCAAATACGAACCTTTCCCCCACGACCAAAAATGAAAACAAGAGCCCCTGGACCGAAACCCCTCCACATCCATGTCCACGAGTCTTTATCTGACTCAAATGATAAACCACTATTAAAAAATTATTAAAATATTTCAAATTGTCAATTTATATTTATATATTATTAAAAAATTAATAAATAAATAAAATATGTTTAGTCACGAGTCCCATAACTTATGAAATCTTAAACATTAACTTTAACATAACTTACTTTTATATTAAAATCAATTACAGCTTTATTAAAATAAATAATTAAAAATGCTTATAATAAATAAATAATTAAAAAATACATCAATCATTATAGATTTTTTTTATCCTGTGCGTTCACGAATATGAAACCAAATGTTTTTATAACTAGGCTGATCCAGCATTAAATGAGGTCTAAAATAATTTTTTAAATAGTTTTTTTTAAATAAGAAAAGTTATATTTTAGGTCTTTTTACTAACATATGAGGTCTTTTTGTCGGCATATGTGATCTTTATTATTTTATAAAAGGAAAAAAATACTAGTTAACACACTTTATGTGACACTCTTTTAAAAATACTTTCATTGGTTAAAATTTGTTTGAAAACAAAAAATTTAGTAAGTGTCACACCCTATTTAATAATTTTCTAAATTTTATACTTTTCAATAAATTTTAACTAGTAAAAGTAAGTGTTTTAAAAGAAGTGTGTTGCTCCTCTTATAAAAAATAATAGCAAATGAGTTTTCGTTGATAAACTTAAAATTTAAGCTTTTGTTATCTTACCCTTAAGTTGGTCTTGCTTATAACTGATAGTTACAAAATATGTATACTATTTGATGTATATTGATTAAAAAATTATGGAGTATGTCTTATTATTTTAAGTCACATCTTACCTAAATAATTAATAAAAAAATTAAATTAAATACATTTATACATATTAAATTTTAAAAAAAATATTATTAATATTTTGATGTCTTAGACATAGAAAGAACAAGAAAAAAGAAAGATCAATAAAAAAAATCAAGAAAATTCATAAAACAATGAGAAGTTTCTTCTTGAGAACCTCATTTAAGTCAACCATTTGATCATTTAATTACAAAAAAATAGATTTTTAGTGACATTTAATATGGTTTTTAGTGGCAATAAAAATTGCTGCAAAATCTTTTATCAATATTTATCGCTAAAATATTTACTGACGATTGTTCTGCATGCTAGTAAAGATCCTTATAATAGTTAGAAAAATGTATAAGTTTTGTGGTATTTTTTTTATTAGTATTTAATATTTTTTGTTATTGTCACTAAAAGTTTAAGAAATGATTCATAATACTTTTTAATTATACCTTATCTCTAGTCAATGTTGAACTTGTAAGATAAGAGTTGTCCTTTTTATATATTCTGTAATTTTCTTATTTTTTTTAATTTTCTTATCTCCTAATTGATTATTTCAAGTTTAACATTATTAAGTTTGGTAATGGTAAGTAATCTGATACCAACTTAGGATAGTAAGTTATATGTCTAACTCAACCTTACAAAACAAACTTGTAAGGTGAAAGTTATCATATACTTATATACTTTTTAATTATCTTATCTCTAGTTGATATGAAACTTATATTTTTTTCAATAAATAATTGTCGCTAATTATAAATTTTGATATCATATAAATAAATTTTTAGTGACTATTATATGTTAGTTATTAATATTTTTATTAAATAATAAAATAGAGACAATTAATTTATTACTATTAAATAATAGTCAACAATAATAAATTTTGTTGTAAATTCAGTAAGGTCTTTAGTTCCCGAAAAGCAATGTTTGTATGTTCACTTAAGCAAACAATGTTCTCACCAACGCGAGAGTTGAAAGAGGGCTCGATAGCCATTCGAGCCATTCTCTTGCTTAAGGAGAGTCCTATGTGTAGGGTGGGCAAATTAAATTGCACTAAACTGAACTGTTAAAAACTATATTAAACTGAAAAATAGTTCAATTAAACTGAACTGAAAATTAGATCACAAAACTGAACTGAACTATTTTTTATCTAAGAAAAAAGAATCTGTGATTGGTGACTTGGTGCGTGAGGAAGGAGGAATACATGGTTGCCTGTGAGTGAGGAAGGAGTGATGATTCTGCTGAATAAGGAACCCCGTGCCGTGGGCCCGTGGCTTGCTGGAATGTGAAGAGGCTTGCGATTTATGATTTAGAAACCTTGGCTGTGGCTGAAATGTGAAGACCCACATTTCTGCATTTACAACTTTTATTTTATATTTTTAGTTAATTAAAGTAAAGTGAACTGTAACTTAATAAGTTCAGTTTTTAAAAACTGAACTAAAAAATAGTTTAATTCAATTTTAATTTAAATAGTTATAGTTTTTTTAATTTAAAATAATTCAATTATTTAATAGTCTAGTTTAATTCAATTAATTTTGGCCAGCACTACCTATGTGAGCACCATCAAGGAATATTGAAGGATAAGAACGCGACCTATTCAAAGTCCACCTTTCCAGTTTCCAGTAACTTTCGTCCTTTTCTCCACAGTTCCCTCCTTTTTCTTGTCTACCAAATGACGCTCAAGTAATACCATTTCTACCTTTTATAATTTAAAATAAATCTTAGTTTTTATAATTATTTTTTTAATCCTTCAAATCACAATTGTTATTTTTTTTAAATTATTTATTTTGTATTAATATAATAAATGTGTTCGATTATGTGAAAGTAAAAAATGACTTCTTAACAATGAACAAGGTATAAACGAGACATGAAATGTCGAGAAATTTAATTAAAGTAATTTCAACAAAATAAATTTAACATCAGACATACAAAGTTGAATAAATACCTCTGTCACGCTAATAAAAATATAATGTTATAAAAAAATAACAATAAGAATTAAAATGATTAAAAAAAATACAAGTATAAAGATTAAAAAGATCTATTTTAAACTATAAAAACTGAAATTGACCGAGAAAAATAAATATGGCGACTAAAAATATTTATTTTAAATTATAAAAAATAAAAGATAGAGTAAAAATATAAAAACTAAAAAGATATTTAAACATTTTTTTATTACAATCTTCTGTCATATCTATATTTATGTATAAAAGCAATTCTCTATTTTAATTTACATAGTTTTTGGATTGTTTTACCTTTAAAATTTAAAAATAAAAATAAAAAATAATATTAAAAATTAACTATCCTTACAAGTCCAAGATTCAAATAAGTGATCTTGAAATTAAAAAATTAGGCATAACACTAGTTAATTTAACAAATATCAATAGTTGTTAAATATCTTTAAACAAATATAGTGGCTCCATCCAATTAGTTGTAATAAAAAAATAATATCTATTGAAAAAGGAAACCATTCATAAAATTATATTTACATTTGTCTTTCATTTACGCTGACTGACGTATTGGAGACTGAATTTAATGACTTATAAATGTGACAACCTTGACTTACCATAATGACATTATCTGGACAGGATATACACGTATAATCAATCTGCAAGAAGAGTAATTTAAGCAAGTACTTCATCATGGGAACACAACTAAACATGAGATCAATATCCTTTACTTTCTGGTTATTGCTGAGTTTCAGAGCACTCTTTACAGAGGCACAAGTACCAAATTTATTGGGAAGTAATTGCCAAAACACCAGCCAACAACAACAACCTCTCAGCAGTGCATACCAAACTAATCTTGAGAGAATCCTTACATGGGTATCCTCTGATGCATACAAAGGCAAAGTTTATAACTACAGAAGCATAGGCATCACCTCCTCTGTGTATGGCCTCTATGATTGCCGTGGTGACGTGGTTGGATACTTTTGTCAATTTTGTGTTTCTAATGCTGCCAGAGAAGCCCCTCGGCTCTGCCCCAATAGTGTATCTGCTATGGTGTGGTATGATTATTGCATTCTAAGGTACTCAAATGAGAACTTCTTTGGGAAAGTTCTCACAAACCCAATATGGTATGTTCTTGGAACCAAAAACATATTCAACAAGACAGAGATTCAGAAAGGTAAGGATTTTGTGACAAGTTTGATAAGAAAAGCAACTAAGGATACCAACCAGTTGTACTATATGGATGGCTTCAGTATGAGTTCCACTCAAAGAAGGTATGGCTTTGTGCATTGTAGCAGAGATCTCACAAGTGAAAGATGCAAACAGTGTTTGGAGGCGATATTAGCTCAAGTTCCCAATTGTTGTGAACAAAAATTAGGATGGTTTATTTGGACCGGAAGTTGTATGATAAAGTATGATAATCATATGTTTTACCTTCTTAGCAACCAAGCATCTTATGTTTCTGTGCCTAATCCGCAAACAGGTGAATCTGAATCCTATACTAGTACTTTTTGACTTCTTTTGTTGTAATAAATAAGAATATTCATTTTCTTTTGTTGCAAGTATAAAAAGTTGGTCATTCATCTTTTATATCATCACAGCTGAAAATGGGGGTAATAAGAGGATAAAAAGCTTGATCATTAGCTTCGGTGTGATGGGGTCAATAATTCTATTACTATGTTTTGTATATTGCTTCCGGTACATGAGCAGAGTCAGAAAAGGTAATTTCCTGCGATCACATGCCATAATTTGTATGATAACCTGTTTCTCCTAGCCAAATAAGACAATTTTGTTCAAAGAAGAACTCACAAAAATCTCTTTGTAGATGGGCTTTGTCTTTCTTCATTTCGTAAAATTCAAACTGAGGAAACTTGGAAAACAGACCTGCCTATAATCCCATTAATCACAATTCTGCAAAGTACTGATAACTTTTCAGAAGCATCTAAATTAGGGGAAGGAGGATTTGGCCCCGTTTACAAGGTTTTAATGATTTGAATTTAAGATGTAGATTCTTTACTTCAACCATCTTTCTATATACTTTTAATTATTGCAAGATATTATCAGGGAATTCTACCAGATGGAAGACAAGTTGCAATCAAAAGGCTTTCAAATTTTTCCAGTCAAGGCTCAGAAGAGTTCAATAATGAAGTAATGTTTATAGCTAAATTGCAACATCGCAACCTTGTAAACCTTTTGGCATGTTGCTTGGAGGAAAATGAAAAGATACTTGTATACGAGTATTTGGCGAATAAAAGTCTTGACTTCCACTTGTTTGGTATGTTTTCACTTTGCTTTAATGATTCAATAAATAGCAGTGTTGCTTTTACTGCAATTTTTTCTTCAGCATTTTTGAGTTCAAAATTAGTCTTGGCATATGTGCTTTATCGTACTTTTCCTGGCATGTATGATTTTAAGAATAAGAGCAGCATGATATGAGAAATGTTTACTTAAATAATATTTTTTTTTAAAAAAAATTACAAAAGTATCAACTGTGCAGGTTTATTTACCAATATAGAACTGTTTACTGTTCATGCCGGTGAATACCCAGAATTTCATTTTGGGCAAATGTTGGAAGTGGAACGGCCCGTTCTGGAAGCAGAACGGGCCGTTCTGCTAAAAGATACAGAATCCTTTTTTTTAAATTAAAACGGTCCCTGAACGGCCCGTTCCAGAATAAAAAATTTTAACATTTTTTTGAATCTGAAACGGTCCTGGAACGGCCCGTTCTGGAAGATGTTTTCAGGAAGTAAAACGAGGTTTGGAAGGGGCCGTTCTGGTTTTGGAACGACCCGTTCTAGGCAAACAGTAAAAAAAAGATTAAATTATTTATTTATTTTTTTTTAAAAGAAGATAATAAAGTTAAAATAATGGGATATTAAGCAATAAATAGGGAATATATTCTCTCCGAAAATATAATTATCGGATAAAATTTTAACTATTCAATCAATTTTATTAAAATAATATATTTAGACAATCACTTAAGATAATATCTTGCGTTTAAAACGTACAATTATCCCTGAACTATAGGGAATATATTCTCTCCGACAATATAATTATCGGATAAAATTTTAACTATTCAATCAATTTTATTAAAATAATATATTTAGACAATCACTTAAGATAATATCTTGCGTTTAAAACGTACAATTATCCCTGAACTATAGGGAATATATTCTCTCCGACAATATAATTATCGGATAAAATTTTAACTATTCAATCAATTTTATTAAAATAATATATTTAGACAATCACTTAAGATAATATCTTGCGTTTAAAACGTACAATTATCCCTGAACTATAGGGAATATATTCTCTCCGACAATATAATTATCGGATAAAATTTTAACTATTCAATCAATTTTATTAAAATAATATATTTAGACAATCACTTAAGATAATATCCGATAATTACTCTTATTTCTTCCTTTTCAAATCTTTTAGTGTTTTAGTCTTTAATTTTTATTCCAAAGTAATTAATGTTTTATAAATTTCAAATCTCAATAATTTCAAGTCGCAATAATTATATTGTCGGAGAGAATATATTCCCTATAACTTAGGGATAAGTGTACGTTTTAAGCGCAAGATATTATCTTAAGTGATTGTCTAAATATATTATTTTAATAAAATTGATTGAATAGTTAAAATTTTATCCGATAATTATATTGTCGGAGAGAATATATTCCCTATAATTCAGGGATAATTGTACGTTTTAAGCGCAAGATATTATCTTAAGTGATTGTTTAAATATATTATTTTAATAAAATTGATTGAATAGTCAAAATTTTATCCGATAATTATATTGTCGGAGAGAATATATTTCCTATTTATTGCTTAATATCCCATTATTTTAACTTTATTATCTTCTTTTTTTTAAAAAAAATAAAAAATTAATCTTTTTTTACTGTTTGCCCAGAACGGGCCGTTCCAAAACCAGAACGGCCCGTTCCAAACCACGTTCTACTTCCTGAAAACGTCTTCCAGAACGGTCCGTTCCAGGACCGTTTCAGATTCAAAAAAATGTTAAAATTTTTGTTCTGGAACGGGCCGTTCTGGGCCCGTTTTAATTTAAAAAAAAGGACTCTTTATCTTTAAGTAGAACGGCCCATTCTGCTTCCGGAACAGACCGTTCCACTTCCAACATTTACCCAAAATGGGCCAGAAACACGAAATTTTTTTTTTTTTTTAAATAACTCAGAATTCGGTTCCCCGGAAACCGAATTCTGAGTTGAAAAAACAAAAAAAATAAGATTTTGAAGCTCAGAATTCGGTTCCCCGGGAACCGAATTCTAAGCATGAACAGTAAACAGTTCTATATTGGTAAATAAACTTGCACAGTTGATACTTTTATAATTTTTAAAAAAAAAAATATTATTTAAGTAAAAATTTCCATGATATGATCAGGATATACCCAAAAAAATGTTGACACATTTTCTTTTCCTTTCATAACATTAAACTAAGTTCAAGTTATATCATGTAATTAATAATCATGTTTATGAGTAATCTTTAAGGAGAACATGCTAAACAATTATTCAGGTATTTTTTTCCCATGTTAATTAATTAGTATTTGCATGTTTTGTACATTGTTTTGTTGGTGAAATCACTTCTTTTTGTGCTGTCAGATGATGAGAAAAGAAAGCAATTCAATTGGAAACTAAGATTCAGCATTATCAACGGAATAGCAAGAGGTATTTTATACCTTCACGAGGACTCTCGACTCAAAGTGATTCATAGAGATCTCAAAGCTAGCAATATTCTATTAGACCATGAGATGAATCCCAAAATATCAGATTTTGGATTGGCAAAAGCATTTGACACAGGACAGAACCAGGCAAAGACAAAACGAATAATGGGCACTTAGTGAGTTTTACTTATACCAAACATTTCAAAAACGATAAGATTTATGAATGCATTTTTAAGCATTTAATTATTGAAAAAATGAAATTCCTTGTTATATATTCCTTGAAGTAAGAGAAATAACAAAGCTTTATTGATTTTCATTAGTGGATACATGGCTCCTGAATATGCTATGGAAGGAATATTTTCGGTAAAATCTGATGTTTTTAGCTTTGGAGTTCTTGTTTTAGAAATCATATCTGGGAGAAAAAATAGTGGATTCTATTTCTCAGAACATGGTCAAACTCTTCTTTTATATGTGAGTCTTTACTCTTATTTGGTCAAGAAATTATTCAAAAATGCTAACCAAAGCTTAACAAAACTAACAAACTTCAAATACTTGTAGACTTGGAGAAAATGGTGTGCAGGAAAATATTTGAAATTGATGGATCCAATGCTGGAAAATCCCTTTACAGCAAGTGAAATAAAGAGGTGCATACACATTGGTTTGTTGTGTGTTCAACAAGACGCAACATATAGACCACTCATGTCTGATGTTGTTGTAATGCTGGCAAATGACACAATGGCTCTTCCCAAACCCAAGAACCCAGCATTTTCAATTGGAAGAATGGCATCAGAGGAAGTACCTACATCAAAAAGTTCCAAGAATATTTCCAATAATGATGTAACAGTCTCTATCACTTTTCCGCGGTAATGAACAATGGAATAAAGGATTTGTCTCTCCTCGAAAGTGACAAGGTAAAGTTGTATTTATTAGGTAGTACTCTGTTCCATAACATGTGATATATTAATAGAAAAAACAAGTTTTAAAATAAGTATTATATTAATTTTTTAATATAATATTGATTTATTTTTCAATTTATATCTAATAGTATTATGTAAAAAGTGATTTCTATATTAATTGTTTCAATAAAAAAAGTTAACCATAATATATGTATGATAATTATTATTATTTTAATTTATTTATTCATTTAGGAGGACACCAATTATGGACAGGGTATTAATTTAAATTTACCCACTATCATTGACATTGAATGCATCCATACTTTTCTACTTAATGATGTGAGATAACCATTCAAGTCCCTATCAAAGCCAGAACAAGAAGCACCCTCTGCAGCCTGTGTTTCTTCAATGAGGACTTCAAGCATCATTATGACCAAACATTTTTCTTATTGATGGAAACGGTTCCATTTTCTATATAGTACTCTGTTAAGTCCTAATCTGGAAGCTAAGTTTTAGGCTACACATAATCACAGGCATAGTGGCTCAACATGGACTAGAGAGCAAAGCTGATGTGCATTCCCAAATCCAATACCAAAGCAGCAAAGTCTGGAAAAAAAAAATATTATAAACAAACAAATATCAACAAGTTATAAGTGGGAAGTGGAAATCAAATATCCCTATCAGTTATAAAGTTTATTACAAACTCTCAAAAGTAAACCAACTAACCAAGTCTTTTGACAAGTCCAATCTGAAAAGAAAAAAAAAAGTGATAGAGTTAGTATATTTGTTCCCAAAAGTTGAAAAGGAAAAGAAATGTCATAAGAATAAATAGCCTCAAACTCGCACATAATTTGCCAAGATAACCCATTTACAAGAAAGTATTTACAAACCAACAAGGCAAATAAACTCTCAAGATTTGCATAGCTGTAATACCTATTAAGGGATGTGTTTTTGGTCATTCATTTGCTTTAGATGCATTAAGACAAATAAACTCTCTCAGGTATTGTTGCAAACATGTCATAGCCACCACCAATTCAAACTTGTTTCAGTGACACTCGAATATTTCCAAAAACACAAAGAAAGAGACTGACTCCTATTTCCTATGGGCATCTACAAACATGCTGATTACTTTGGCAAAAGGAAGGGACCATTATCATTTAAACTAAGCAAAACAATTTGGAAAAAAAAAAAAAAAAAACTTAGAGAATGATAGAACGCTGAAATTGAGTTTTAGGCACACTAATTGAATAGAAAATCCTGAAAAGTTGTCCCACAGTTTCAATAACTCATACAAAGAATAACTCTGTCCACAGAACTTCGAAATGCACTATATTTTCCACTCCTTTCCTATACTTCATTCATATATGAATTTTACATAATAACTGTTGCTATTAAATTTATTAGGCTCGGATATGTATTTAATTTCTCAAATCTAAAGTAAAATTATTTTTAAACATTTCTATAAATGTCTCAATTTGTAACTTTTAAATATATTATTCTAAAATTATAATTTTTAAAAATTATAAAACTAAAAAGATCAATATTATATTTGAGAGACATAAAAAAACATTTATTAAACTAAAAATATTTAAGTGTGTGCGCGCGCGCGTGCGTGTGTGTGCGCGTGTGTGTAAAAATACTTAAATTTACAAATATTAAAAAAATTAGTTAAATCTATTGAATTTTATTGATTTCATATAAAAATTAAACATTAATTTCTAAACTAACTTTAATATTTATTAGAAACGGAAATCACTTAATTTAAGGGATGTTTTTTTGAAATGATTACATTAAATAAATTCAAGTTAGATAAAATTTATTAATATTTTAGTTCAAAAAATTTAAGTATTTTTTTCCTTATATATATGAGTTAAAAATTTTTTTTTTACTCATGTGCTGTTATGAAAACATATTACTAATATAGAGCTATTTTAAAATATTTTACATATTTAGAGTCAATTGCGAAATTACATGTATGTAAAAGGTTCCAACAACACCTTTTTTATTTTTTTTCTTTTTGTTGTGTCACAGAAGACCTTTGTAGGATGTATGAATTTCTGTTGCATGACACCTTATCTCACAATCGACTCCAACGACAACAGCCTTATATTCCTCTCTAGATCCAGTTTAATACAAACAAACAAAAATATGAGATAAGATATATAAAATGTTTCAAAACAAGTTCATATTAATAACATGTTTTCATAACAATGCTACATGGTAAAAGTCCAGAGTTCAGGAGTATTGTTTTTTAGACCTGACATAAAATAATTGTTCCCAAAACACATAACTAAACCTGAAAAAATAGCCTTCTCTCCGAGGCTGAGTGCAAGAAAGTGGTTTTTCTTCGTTATCTTTATCCGGCTTCCGTAGCAATTGCTTTATTACGCATCTTGTTTAAGGCTTCATCAACTCCCAAGATTACCAATCTTAATTATTTTTCTGCACATGGATACAAGGTATGAAACTTTTCTTCACGCACACACGGCTATGGATTAGGATTTTACAAAAGTTATTATAATTTTTCTTTTGACATATTCGATTTAGATATTTTTAATAATAGAAATTAACATAATATTCAATTATGATAGTCAATTATATATATATATATATATATATGTATATATATATACGAAGCATATCAAG